TGAAGGAGATTATTGAGAAATAATTGTTTTTAAACCGATTTTTTTCTTCAAACGAATATATATATTTATTTCGAGATACGATGGGAAATAAATCTCGCGCGTGTAACACGGTGAATGGTGTGCGCGAGTCGAGCGGCGAAGGAGAAAAATAGGGAGGAGGAGAATGGGCGAGAGAGAAAGAGAGAGGAGAGGGGAGGAGGATAAAGAGAAACGAGCGAGGAGAGATACAAGCGGCGGCAAGAGGAGAGCAGGTGCAAACTTGGCCTGTCAGGAAGTCGCTTACAGCTCGAGGACAAAAGCTTCCCGAGGGACTCGTGCACGGTTGGGAAGCAAGGCTAGGGACGGAGCTCGGTCTTCTCCGGATANNNAGAAGATGCCAGCCGTGGAAGAAGGTTGAAGGTGGCGCGAAGGAGGCAGGGTGGGGCGAGCCTAACTGTGAAATAACAGGGTGGCCTCCTCAACCCTCGTTTCGGGGGGATGCGAGTCTCATACGTCACTTCCTTGGAAAGAGGGCGGTGTCTCAGGGTTGAAGCAGGTTATATTGATTTATTTATATCGAGGACGCAACCCCAATACGATGGGGTTATTGGGAATGTATCTGTATCCGGCCTATAACCCCGCCCGTGTTTCCTACGTCCTGGATGGAACCCGTTTCTTCCTTACTATTTAGATGTTTATCCCAACTCCGTTCTTTCGATCGTTTTGATCCACGTGTAATTTGTACGTGCTTTATCTACGTTATCGAATCGAGAAGCAAAAATCGTATAATCCGTTTATCATCGGAGAAAAATCCTTCTTTTCGCGCGTTATTATTTACGCGCGTCGAGTTTTAAGAAAATAGACGATCATTCCAGTAAATAGGCAATTATCAACAAAAAGCTTTACCAATTATCAATATCTATTGGAAAATAAACAAGTTACGAGTTGATTAGATTATAGGCCATCTTTTTTTTACAGTTTACATATCGATATATATATATATANTATTTAAATTAATCTCGAATATTTTGTAAATATGTCAAAATCGTTTCGAAAAGAAATCGATTAATGAATGTTCCGATGAATAAAATTTTAAAATGAATGGCAAAATAATGGTAAAATTAAATCCAATAATTTCTCAATCAGGAAGTTTGGAAATAACAAGATAACGAAGCGAAAAGAGCTTGGTTGAATTGCAATCTAATGCATATAATGTATATTTTATTTTCGCGTAACTCTCGGCCGAGATGGGGTTCCGAACGAATTACAAAACCGATGACAGACTACCGAATGAAGCAGCACGATGCATGAGGAGGGAGGGGGCTGACTCATAAAAGGAGAGCAGAATTGTAATTGAGAATATCCGTGCGATTGGCCAGCGAAAAAGTTCAACGAACGCTGAAACTGGAAGCACGACACTCGTTAACACAGAATGAATCAGTGGCGGACAACGGAGGACCCGATACCGATGAGAGATCCATGGACGCGCTGCTCGAATTACATTTCAATTTACAATCGTCGAGCGTGCGATAAAAATAAACTCTCGAAACGTATCCCTCCTCCTCACTTTTCGTCCCTGATCGAAGACGGAAAACGAAGACGAACATCCCCATCCAGCCGAATCCTCGAAATCGGCCCACCTTCATCTCGATACACGATTTCTCGCCACTCGTCGCGTTCCATTTCAACCTCCCTCCCCTCT